ATATTATCTTTCAAATTGTTTTATAATATGTAAGCATTTAATCAATCTATGATAATATAATTACAAGTTTTTTTTATCTAATTAAGTGAAAATATACTCATTTTTTTTTGATAATTTCAAACAAAAATGAGAATATAGTAGTAATCTCAGAAAATTAAGCAAAAAATAAACAATAGTTTATAAAGTTAGCAATGAAGATGATGTAAAGATAATTGAACTCTCTTTTGATGAATTTATTTAAGTAATTAAATATACATTGAGAATCCTTAAAAAGTATAAAGATACAGAAAATGTTGAAAGGTTAAAAAAAGTTGAAAATAAATTTTAACTTAAAAAAAAATAAAATAAGTATTAAAAATTATAATAAATAACATACAATAACTTATATTTGAAAAAAATATAAGAAATAATGCATATTATATATATATAATAATCTACAATTATAAAGTTATATTATATTAATAAAAAGCTTTAAACGTTCTAAATTTCTTAAATAATTTTACTAATTATTAACTTGAAAAAATGTTGTATATATTTTAAATCTATTTATAATAATAACTTTTATTTTTTTTATTATTTTCAATTGATATATAAAAAAATAAAATGATTTATTTTGAAACATATGAGCATAATATTTCTTCATCAAAAAAAAATGAATTCTTAATCTGCATCAAATATATAGACTTTTAATCTATGTCAGAAGGTATATGATAAATTTTAATGAATTTTATTAGATATAAATTTTTTGTATAATATTATATAATTTATACTATCTTTGTAAATAAAATTAATATTATACAATAAATAATACAATAATATAACAATTACTTGCATTTTTATATGAAATTTATATTTTATAAATATGTTTAAATAAAAGAGTATTCCTGAATTAACAACTTTAAATATATTTATAAATCATCAAATTATGCAAATTTTTATAATTTTTAAATATGATATGATAAAGATATAATTATTTTTTTATTATTAAAGTATCATTTAATTTACAAATTAGACTTTGGCATATTTTAGCTATAAATTTGAAATAAAATCATAAAATAATGGCTTATGAATATAAAAAATTCTTAAATAATGAAAGGATAATTTTACAAGAAATTAAAAATTGAATTAAAATTTATCATTAAATTGGTTATAATATATTGACTATCAAATCCATTTTTAAGCAAGAATATCAGGAATTGGAAATATAGATTTATGATAATTTTTAAAAATTTATATATCAATTAAATAATAAATTACATAATCATTTTTTTGAAGCAACTGAATTTATAAATATTTTACAATAATTCAAAAGAAAAATTAATGGATTTGAATATAAATTCAAAAGTTGATATAAGTTTAAATAAATTACTTCAAGTAATTTGAATATATATTGAATAGAAATGACAATATTATAGTTTTTAGATATTATTGTTTTTGATAATACATATAAAGTTAATCAATTTAATATGCTATTTGGATTTTTTACAGAAGTAAAACAATTTTGGTCAAAGTATATGTTTTGTCATGATTTTAATATGCTAAGAAACAAATTAATAGTTTCATATAGACATTTGAATTATTTTTTAAAATAGTTGATAATAATCCATTGAAAGTAACACTTATAGATGAAGATAAAGCAATTTCTCATTCTATATAAAACATATTTGATTAAAATAATAAGTATGTATTATGTATATAATTCCTTTATAAAATGTAATTAAAAATTTATACAATATATTAAAATCAAATTAGCATAATTTTACAAAGGCTTTTATGAATATATAAAAAAATATGAAGTTGATAATTTATAGTCAAATGACAAGATCTTCAAGTATTTAAAAATAATAGATAAAATAAAAGAAATTAGGCATCTTATTTTAATAGAGATAGATTTTAACAGATATTATAAGTATATAGCATAAAGAATCAATGAATAATCTTATGAAAAATAATATGAATTTACTTTTGGATTTTTTAAAGACTTTTGAATCTGCATTATAATAATATGATATTATTTATAATTATCTAAATATCAGCAAAATTAATTTAATATCATAAAAATAATGAGTTCATTTGAATATTAAGTGACAGAAATGACAGAAATATTAACAAATTATGCATTAAAGTTAACACAAAAGCAATTATTATAAGCTTCTAATTTTTCTTGCGTAGAAATATTTGTTTAAGGTATTTAATTATAGTTTATTTTATAAAAATTATTAAAAATAAATTTAAATATTAATTTATTTTTAAATTATTTAATAATTGAAAATATTTAATTTTTTACATTTATTGATTTAATTATAATTATGAATCTAGAAGATAGGTATAATACAATTAGCAACAACAATTGTTTTTGTGTTCATGCAAGTATACCCTTTTCTGAAATTATATGTTAGCATATATTTTGTGTAATAACGCAATTAAATTTAAATAAATTGCTAGATTCACTATTTTATTAGTGTTTACAAAAAGATTTAAATTCTTTTATTTTAAAATAACAATTTAATTTATTTTGTAATAATAATATATCAAATCACTTGGGTTCACTTAATAATAGAAATTATGAATATTTACTAATAAAAATTCTTTATGAAATAAAAACTTTGGTAAAAAAAGCATTTAGAATTATTCAAAGAATTTTATTTTACAAACAATACTTTGTTAGAGAATAAATTAAAAGTTATATTCACCAAGCTTATTAAACAAAAGATAATATATTACAAAATGTAATTAATTGATTAATTATATTTTTACTAATTCAAAAATTTTTTAATTAGGAAAAAAAATCAAAAAAAAAAATTTGTCAAATAAAAGACAAAATTTAATTGCTAGTACAACAAAAAGAAAATATCACCAATTATCAAGAAGCTAATAATACATTTAACATGCTTAATCTGATAAATAAGGTATTTCATAATTTACCACAAATATTCATAACAGAATTAATGGATATGAAAATAGATGATATAAATGTTAAAAGCAAAAAAAAAGATATATTCAATTTATAAAATTTATTAATTTTAAATATAATTAATTACCAATTTTTTTTTAATATATTTAAATGAATTATCATGTCTTTTTTGTAATCGATCTAGCCTAATCCTTTACCAAAAAATTACTTGAATATCTAAAAATTTTACCAAAAAAAAAGTATATTTCATATTTATTTTATTTCTATAATAATAATATAGATTATATTAAGATATTTTAATTTTTTTTAAAAAAATATTAGAAGCTGATCGTACAGAATTTTGTTTTATGCATTATGCAGAAACTGAAATTATTCCATCGGGTTATCATACATATATTAATTTTGAATTTTATCAAACCGGATTGATATCCAAGATGATTCGTTAAATATTATTAATTGTAAATTAGTTTCATGACTTGTCATTATCTGTTTATAATGAAATTGGATTTCGAAAGCAAATATACCAATTGAAGAATTGAGGGTAAGAGTTAATTTATAAACATTTTTTTTTTATAATAAGTTTTAATATATTTTTAAATTTGTTTTGGGATATTATGGTTCTAAAGGTGAAATAATCATCACTGAGGTTTTAGTGAATTTGTTATTAAAAATAAATATTTTAACATTTGAAACAAGCAAATATTTAAAATCAGTTGATTATTTGCATGAAATATTAGTCCCATTACAGGATTTTAATGGAAAATTATCATTTGAAGAAGCAAGGGAAATTATGAAAGATAAAATAGTGCTGATTTGGCACATATATATATATATATAATGATTTTATAATAAAAAAAGTTCGAAGTTTTTTGCGAAATTTAAGTTCAGAAATCTTCTCACCGTACGTAACAGTCACGTAAATACAATATCAATTTTATTTACAAAGTATATATTATATAATATTACACAAAAAAATTTCATCCAATAAAATTCGTTAAAACTTATCGTACACCCCGGCGCAGGAAAAAAAGTTCGGGTCATGTGATTATATATGTATTACATATATAATCACATGACATGCCGAACTTTTTTAAATTGATCAGTCACGCGTTATTTACACCAACAATTTCAAAATTGATCACGCGTTATTTACACCAACAACAATTTCAAAATTGATCACGCGTTATTTACACCAACACTTTCAAAATTTATCACGCGTTTAAAATACGTGTTTCATGAGTATAAAAATGCCGAGTTTTTTAGTTCAGCACTTTCAAATCCTTTTTTTTTTTCCTCAAATAAAATAAAAAGTAAAATCAACTACTGTTCTTCTTTCTCTCGTCTTCTTTGTTCCTTTCATACCATACCTCTCTCTTTAATAATACCATCCCATCCATTTTTCAGCATTACCTTCCACAAATCTTATAACCCAATATCTCATGCAAATAATTTTGGAAGTGGTAAGCCGAAGCGATTTCCCTCGTTACTGGATCTTTTGGGATGAAAAAATATTTATGAGCGTCTATAGAACAAGTAGATGTGATGAAGGGAGACCTTTTGAACTGATGAGCTTCAAGATGTCTAGGAATACCTGGTCTTGAGGTATCGTCTTACGGCTATAGATATTAATAAGAACAAGTAGATGTTATGATTAAGGGAGTTACGGCGACTTTCTGAACTGAAGAGTCTTTAACAGGATATCTTCTTACGTCTTATTTAGTTCATACCAGTTCATGGGTTGTATTGTGGAGTGGATACATAGCATAAAAGCTAATGCAAAAAACTTTCTGTTCAAACTCGATTAGGTGAAGAAGATATTGTCGTTCGTTGTGGATAGTGCGCGAGATTTATAGGCTAGCTAATCTCCCATCGTGCAAAAGTTGAGTGACTATTTGATGACGAGTTTCTTTTCTATAACGAGATATATAGTTGCAATGTGACCTCCGAAGCTAGAAGTCAATTAGGCATGCATGAAGTATTAACTCAAATTTTTTTTTTTTTTTTTTTGTTTAACGTAAAGTAAATTTTTAATTGTACTAGAAATTTGTTTTTTGCAGAGATTAAAATGAAATGATCATAATGATTTATGAGATTATCAGAACAAATTTACAAAATGTGAGAATATTCCATTATTTATATAAATTTATGATTATTATATATCCTTTGGTAATTTCATTTAATATCTTGTTTATAGAGCTGCAATATACTGGGATCAAGTACAGGGTCTTAAAGCAGAAGTTATGGAAAGTTTACATTGATCTATATTTAACTCATCAAAATATGATATGATACTGATAATTTCATGGTCGTCATGGTTGTCGATGGAACAATAGATCTTACAATTATTGATAAATGGACTACCGAAAGAACTGGTGATTTCTGTGAAAACAAGAATAATGATCATTACCGCTGATGAGATTTAGCATGGATAGGACCACTTTTGAACCTAATAATGCCCAAAGAAAATAAACTCAATTATAAAGTAATCCGTGAATCTAACACATTACGTCACATCACAATTATTTTTATCTTTTTTGGGGTGAATTTTTTTTTTTAAAAAAATATTTTCTAAATAGCGATTTCTTTTTCATTTTAAAAGGTGAATTAAAGTAATTTTATAGAAGTTGACATTCCACTTCCCATGAGTTAGTAATAACAGTAATGTAAAGGATTGTTTATGAAAGAGCGCAAAAATTATGATTTAACAAGCATCAAGTGACCACAAATTATATTTTACTTTTCCAAATATTTTAATAATTCTATTTCAGGAAGAAATGGGTTTCTATTTCAAAATGTGAAAAATATTTTGTATGTTTTCGGGTAATTTAGATCTTGTTCAAATCTTTGTCATGCATTATATCCTCATTGCATTAAAAAAATCATAAAATACGAATCTTATCATAACTCAGTAATATAATATAATATATAGATCAATTAACTCGAAAAACTTGTTACTATAAAAATTTATTTTTTGTTATTAAAATATTATTAATAAAAAAATAGCTATTATAATTAATATAAAAATAGCTATTATAATTAATATAAACATTAAGTATTGAATTTGTTTAGTTTAACCATTAAACTTTCTTAATTAGGTTATTTTAGTATTGAGATTTAGAAAATGTAAAAAATGTGGCAGAAATGTACTTCAAACTTATTAAAATTAATAAATAATCAACTTCATTTTCTATACAACGCGTTTATTTAATATTTGATAGGAGAAAACTGAATACAGTAAAGTCATTATCGTTTATAAAAAAACTAATTAGTATAATCAAGACGTTTTTTCGCCGTATTACAATTACTTTCTTCACAAAGTGTAATACCTGCGTCAAGTTATCCAACTAACTCAATATCAAGTTTCGAAGCAACATCCATAAAACTCTAAAAGTTATTCGTGTTTTTAATGCAGCAGCGAAAATCATCATATTAGGTTCAAAAATTTTGAATTTGCTAACTAATAATTTCATCAAAACATTTCGTTGGCAGATATTCCAGTTGATAGCAACAAGATAAACCAATTCCCGATATCTAAGTGACAAGGATAACACTGGAATCAGATATATACATTTTATTTTAGCGCACTCCAATTTTGTACATGCGAATGATTTAACTCAAAAAATACAAACATCAATTTTCATTAAACTGTTTAAGCAAGAAACGGTGGTACTTTTTATTGAAATTTTCTGAACATTTGTATACTCATTTATACGTCCTTTTCATGATATATAGATAATGTATAATTAAACTACTTCAAAACTTTCCACACTACAATCATGTCAATATTTTTAAATCACAGCTATATTCATTACCAGTTATCGGATTTGCTATCCATTTAATGAATCGAAAGGGTATTGACAAAAAAAATTAATATTTTTATAATAATAAAAAAAGAATTTCGTTCTACATAACATTTTTTTTACAATCCACCCAATTTAGTCACCCTTCTTTGACTTTGTTAAATAAATGGTCGATGACTTATTTAAATAAAACTAAAAACAGTCAGTTTTTTTATTATTTATAAAAATCCTACTTATACTCAAAATTCCGAAATCTTGGCGTTTATCTCTTCAGAAAGACCAATGCTTTTTTCATGTAATAAGGTTGGTCCAACTTTTGTAAAGAAAAAAGAAAATCTTAATTGAAAGAGAAAGTTGATTTTTTCAAGATATTAAACTCAAATATTATCTAGTAATAAAGCAAAATATAAAATCAATGAAAAAAATATTTGGATTTGGCTTGAAATATCTTAAGACTTAATATTGTAACGTATTTATCCAGTCATTAAATAAATTTTAAACATTATCATCAACTTAATACAAACCAGAAACATTGAATTATCAAAAATTTTTAACATGCTTCAAACATTCTTTGAAGTATTAATTACTAAAACTCTTACGCTAGAATATGAAAGGTCGACTTTATTGAAAGTGCTGATGTAGGGAACATTTTAACAGAATTTTCTAATTGGGAATTAAAGAATTTAATTTAGGAGAGTTTAATAATACTTTAAGTCATATTTTATATATATTTATTTAATATTATATGAGTAAATAAGTTATCCTCCCCTAAATGATAATCACCACAATTTTATATTATTTTTTCAATATCAAATCACATGCATAAAATAATTTTTGAATTTACTACATTTTTTTCATTAATTAGGATTTTATATTTATATTATAACTTCGAAGATGTAAAATATAATTAATTTAAAAATTTAGTAATTTTTACTTTTACAATTTAAAATTTTAATAACGTTTAGAAATTAAAAAAATATCATTTATAATAACGAGTATTACACAATTAAAAATAATATTTGTAGCTTTTTATAATATATTATATATTGATTGACCAAATAGCGTTCGTTCTTAATTTGAAACAATTGAAAATTTAAAATGAGTGAGTCTATCATAACACCTAATATTTATAATTATCAAATCTACTTCCAATCACCTTGCCTACAAACTAAGAATATGATGGAATACAATGTTAAAAGTCTTTATAAATGTCAATTTTTAATAGATTAAAATATAATAAAAATATTCAAAAATTATATCATTAAAATAATCAGCTTGTTCGTTAAACCCAATAATACGTATCTTATATGAGAAATTTCATTATACGATTTTACCAAAAAAATTAAAAAAAAATATTTGATTTTAAGCTAATATATCCCAATGGTTTAGATTACCAACCCGATAATTTAATGGTAGTATTAGATTTGATCATAACAATTATTACTTATAATTAAATTAATTTCTTTTTAACGTTTTGTCCTTGTATCGTATTTTAATTAAGAAAATAATTCTAAATAATGCATGTTATTTCCTTATTATAAAATATTTGTTTATTTATTAAATGTTAATATCATAATGAATATAACTGATAAAATTTGTTAACATGATATGACCAACGCACAAAATAATATTTTAATCAGTTTTCCTACACTGGAAAAAGGTGCTAAAGCTTTTGGCTACCTATCAATATAAGTGTAGGATATTGTTGTCCAAAAATCTGATTATTATGAATATTATGCACAGAAAGAATACAAGGTGAACTTTCCTTCCAAGACTTGTCACATGTTCGTACACAAGAATTTGAAAGGCCATACAGAATAATTATAGAAAAAGCAGAATAAGAATTGTGCAATTCATATTTAATAATATCTGGTCATAGATTATATCATTTTAAAAACATTTGGAAGCAAGATTATTTCAATCAAGAGTATATCAACATGATAATCTTTCATTGTATTTTTTTCGATATACATTACCTTAAAAAAAATAAATAGAAAACAAGATTTACAGATCTAGTTTTCAAATAAAATTATAATATTAGTTAGTTATTTCAAAACCATTGCCTATTATCATTAATATTTTATAAGTTTAAGTTTAAAAATTTAATATTTCGATTTAAACAAAGCAGATAAAAAGATTAACATGTATATAAAACTAACTTCCTTTGAAAGATGATCAAATTACGATGCGATGATACTGTTTAATCAAATATATGCTAGCTCATACTAATAGATCAAATTATGATTCACTTCATACTTTGTTTTCATTGCTTTGATTAATCCTAATGATACTGCGCATTTATCGAAGTCTGAAAAACTGATCGAGAAATATTAGCATACAAACACAATCCCATACTTCTCAACACATACTAGATATTGACATATAAATATATTGCGTTTAATGTGACTTATCTTTATTGATTGTAAATAAAAAAAATACATATTTTTGTATACACTGCAGAATAATATCTGATTCAACAATGCCACCACGTAGCTATGATTGCGAATTTGAATTTATTGCTTGAAGTGAAGCAAGTAAGACAATATTCTGTTTCATTTTTATACCATTCGCCATGTAATCCGTAATTCCCATGTTTTCCATCGCAAATAGGGCATGGCGAGTTCCACAGCTGAGCTAATAATTATCAATCCCCTAAAATTATTTCGGAATTTCAGGTATGTGAAATACTCTAAGACGGATTTAATAATTAATTCTGAATAGGATTTGGCTTCGTAAGTGATAGGTCCTTTTTCTTCATATAACTCAAAAAAAGGTAAATATGATACTTTGTTTTCTGGCATCGAATTTATGAGAAGGCGGGCTTCTAATAATTGCCATGGCTCATGTCCAGTTTCTTTTTTATATTTTTTGTATAAGTTGGACTGGAACTTATCTGTCAAAGTATTGGGTAAATCAGTTAATTTGGCATGTTAATCCAGATATTCAAAAGTTAATATTTTATCGGATTTGCTCATGTTTCCTATTTCTATAATTACAGATCAGATCAATCTAATTAGGCAATATTTGACATGTGTAAAAAAATATCACATAATAAAGCACAAGCAAATAAAATAATGAAACTATGCAATTATCTCAATTTCGCGTTGTTCGCATTTAATAAAATAGGATCCAGCCTTATATCTACCTTATATACTTTCCTCATCATCATAATTTAAACTGCATAATAGGCAAGTCCTTTTGGGATCGCAAGATGTCTCATCAATAATACCATAATAATCAAAATTTTCACTACTAAATTCTCTATATAAAGTAGAATATAGGCCTAATGTCTTGTTATGAAAATAGGATCGGTCATAAGTTGGTTTAAATTGGGCTTGTATATTAATCTGATTGGTTTTTGATGTAAGTGGGATATTTATCCTGACATCTGATGAATTTTTTGATTCAGATTCAACCAGTAGGTCACGTGTGCGTGAACAGTTATTCGTATTGATCAATTTTTAAGATTTGATTAGTTCATCAGTATAAAGATTTATTATATTCTGAATTTATGCATCAGTTAGCCTAGAGATCACATCAGCGCTAGGTGTAACTAATCCAAGTTTATCTATTCCTATTCCTTTGAATAATGTATAGATATTTTTAGCCTTTTGTATCATTTTACACAAATACTTTCTCTTTTTACCATGAAGATATAGCTCCATTTCATCATAGATCTGCATTTTTGCCATTTGTTCGCTAATATTATTTTCAGAACTAAAGGTTACAACCTTTTTTTCATATTTCTCACTATAGTGATACCATCGTAATTTTTCTTTTCAACCAGTTTTTTCAGCCTTGTCAAATAAATAAGCTAAACAAAGTATATAACTTGGAGTTAGGCCAGCATCAACTTGAACATCTGGAATATGTTTGCTAGATATAGAATTTGGTAAGGACGTGGAATTATAACATCTGATAAATTTAAGTAATTCATATATTAAATATTATTCTACTTTCTGATTATAGGGAATTTTTTGGGGCGGAAAATCCTGCTTGTTTTTAGAAGATAATTTCAACTTACAGGTTATTGCTGATTCTGCAAATGATTCCTTTGGAATCAATTTTTCAACTACCTGTTCTGAGAGGATTACAAATTCAGTACTAGTCGTATAGAGATCTGCTATATAATTGGTGTTAATTACTGAAGATGATTCCTAGACAATCAATTAATACTAAAGCTTTTTTTCCCGCTTTCTCTACTTAATATTATTACTAATCTTTTTCTTATGCACCTCATCTAAGAAAGCATCTATTTTCTTATCATCTAATGATCTCCCTTGATAGTTCATTTTAGTGGTTACCTCTTCGATCTATAGGGGTTTACACTGTTTGGGTTGAGCTATAACCGAGTCAGATACATTGATAGGTTCTTCAGAAATAAATCACCTTTTTCCTTATTTTCTATTGACTTGATATCATTTTGCTGGTCTATTACAGAGTTAGATATATCAACGGCTGATACTTCTGCTATCACTTCCTTACCATTCTATGGTTACCCATTTACTTTAGTAACACCCTATTCTAATATTGCGAGTCTGACTTCAAGTTTTCTGATTCTAAACTTGAGTTCAGTATTCTCAATATCACACTTGGTATCTTTTTCCATAACTTGCTTTAGAAGTTCAGCATTCTTGACCTCAATCTCAGCTTTCTCAGCCTCAAGCTTGGCATTCTTAGCTTCAAGCTTGCTAATACGCTGTCTTAATAATTCAAACTCTGATAACATGATCTATAACTAATACAGTTAAACCTTGATATAGCGAACCCTTAATATAGTGAATTTTTAAATCAAATATATTAAAATAATCTTACTATAGTGAACTAGCCAATTAAATTCTTTAAAAAATTCATTATAAGCTTATAACGAAGTTAATATCCAGATCCTAGTCTTAAAAATAGTGGTTATAATAATACAAAAATAATGAAATGTTAACATTCACAAAGTTTTTTTATCTTTTTAAACAATAACGAAGGGATGCAATTACATGAGAATATTTAGTCTTTGTATAATAAAAATAATAATGCAAAAGAAGCAAAAGATGAAGGGATGACTCTATTCTGTATTAGATATTAATTAATTTTTTATAATAATTTTATTATATTATTAAAAGTTTTCTAATAAAAATAAAAGATATAAATATATGTAATTTATGCTTATGAATCTTTCGTTTTTCACAATATATCATTAATGAAGAAATAAATTTATAAATACTATCTATAATTTTCTTCTTGATCTTTTTTTTTTATAATTCATTTTTTATCTTTTTCTAATTTGTTATTCGCTTTTTTAAATGCACCTTTCATATTTTAATTCATCTTTTATAATTTGTTCTTCATCATTTTATAATACATCTTTCATTATTTTTAAGTTGTCTTTTTTAATTTGTCTTTCATTTTTTAATTCACCTTTTTAAATTGTCTTCCTTCATTTTTTCTTTTTATATTTTTCATTATTTTTCAATTTACATCATCTTCTTTAATTAGTTTTTTTTAATATTTCAGTTTTTTTTATTCCACTTATTTTTCGATTGCCATTTTTAATTTGTTTTTTTAGTTTTTTTATTTCACGTCAATTTCTCGATCGCTGTTTATTTCATTTTTTCTTTTTTTTATGTATCATTATTTTTTTTTATTTTTTGATCACTGTTTATTTCATTTTTTTCTTTTTTATCTATTATTTTTTTTTATTCTTTGATTGTCTTTTTTTGTTTTTTTTTATTTTCATTATGGCTTTAGCTGCTTTTACTGTTTCTTATTTCAAATAGACCATTGATGCTATACGAGAATTAATTTGTCTTTAACATGATTATCATGATGATTTTGAATTCATTCCAAATAATCACCATGAAAGGATATAGAGAATCATATCCAATCAATTATTTATTAATAGAGGGTTCATTGCTTCTCCCTCTCAATATTGAAGAAAATAGTACTCATTAAAATATGGATACGAAAATCTCAAGTGGTTAAAAGCTGAGGAGAATCTCACAATCAACTAATAATAAACTCAACTCTGCATGATCAGATATTTATGCAGAGTTAAATGATGAATTTTGGCTTCTAACCGGTAATTATTTATTGAATAATAGTAATAAGAAATATATTTTTACTTTTAAAACTTCAATTTTTTAATTTATTTATTATTTTTTTATTATTTTTAGACGTAAATCATCATTAGTATAGAAGACAGAATGTTGATCGCCGCTGGTATCAGTACCGATATAGATCCCATTTTCACCGTCATCATTCATGGGATCATAGATCACGTTCCTGCCATCATTCAAGAGATCGAAGATCCCATTCCCGAAGATACAGAAGAAGGTCATATTCTTCACGAAGGAGAAGTTTTTCGCTGAGAAGGCATTAATTTTTTTATTTTTTTATTTTTTTATTTAATAATTTTATTTTTATTGTTATTTTTATTTTTTAATTTAATTTTAATTTTTAATTTAATTTTTATTTTTTTATTTTTTTTAATAATTTTTTTTTAATTTTTTAATTTTTAATTTTTATTTTTAATTTTAATTTAATTTTTATTTTTATTTTTTAATTTAATTTTAATTTTTAATATCCATTCTTTTCTTGCTAGATACGAACATACTAACCGACTAGGTTTATATTAAATTTAGATAAAGAGATTACTTCTGGTCATATAGAAGCGTCACTACTTATATGTTACTCAACTAATGATACAGGATTCATGGGATGTTATCACAAGATTTTCCAAATAGTAAACTAGCAGGTGATTATTGTACCTACTTTATCAAATAACCCAAAAATTGAATCTGACCTCTGATCTTAGTAATAAGTCAATTAAGCAGTGATACAGCATGCAATGTAATCTATTATTACTAAAGATCTAATTTACTAAATTCTGATTAATCACTTTCTTAATTTATATACAATTTTATTCATATACGAAAATAAAGGCCCCTGCTGTGTGAGACATAAGATTATGTCTATTATAGACTTATCAACAAAAGTCAAATTTCTGTCAATCTAAGGCAGGCTTTATTGTATCTACATGTTCTAACATTATGCAGTATTTAGGTATAATCAATGTTGATTAACAGATCAATCAATCAGATTTGTATACATATTAGTACATATACCTATTAATTCAACCACATATAAAATTCTTATGAAAACATCTAATTTTATATATTGGCTGATACCTGAACTGATAGCCTATTGCTGTGTAATAAAACTTTAGCTTATAGAAGACTCGCAGTTTAATCACTGAACCAGAAATGCTGATCACTTAATATTTATTATACTTTCTAAGCTAAAAATATATTTATATAAAAATGATTATATAGAATATTTAATAACATATAAAAATATAAATAATATATAATATATAAGATATTGTAAACAGATCTATAAAATGATCTGCAAAAATGATCTATAAAAAGATTTGCAGAATTGATCTTCAAATTAATCTACATGTATTACATAATATTCTTAACATTATTGATATAATTGAAATTATTAATATTATTAATATTAATGACATAATTAGCATAATAGATATAATTTCATCAGGATGTTAAACAGGCATAATTCAATGCATTGTTTAATATAATAGCCAATAAGATATTGATTTACATTATTCTGTGAAGGCTACACTGATCAACATTATCATTGCACTAACACTTGCATATATCACATGATCAATGAAATAATGTCAACGTGAACATCGCACTAACACTTGCGTATATCACATGATTAATTGAACAGATCAATGCAACACAATTTTTATTATAATTATTTATAATATAATATTATTAAATGAAATATGACTTTCTAACTATTATCAATTCCAGCATTTTCTGAACCATTCTCTTAATCATTAGAATCTATAGATTCATTATCAGAGTCATGATCTATTATGTCATCTTCTAACTGTTCTTCTATTCTATCATCTTCTAACGGTTCTTCTATTCCATCATCTTCTAAAGGTTCTTTGCATTTAAGCTAAAATTTAAATGTATATAGAATCTTTAATAGTCAAATCATCTGAATAAACTAGCAATTACTTACCCATCTTTGTATAATTGGATTAAAATCCCATTGGTTCATGCGTTCTTGTACTTTTGAAGACAAAATCTCAACCTGATTATAAGTCAGATCTAAAAACATCAGTGCTACTGTGATACCAAATTTAATGTTGTCTTGATTTTGTAATTCTTCTTTAGTAAATGCTTTTTGTAGAATAGCCTCAATGACAAATGGTGAATCTGGATCATTATCATCCATTTTATTCCAAAGATCGTGTCTTACTTTTTCAACTCTTTCCGAATTTTTCCAAGATCTAACTTTCTCAGGATGGGCAAATTGATCTAATTTGTAAGAAAATAAGTTTAAGAAAATATAAATAGCATCTTTTATTTTTCAGACATAAGAAATCCTATGGTTGTGAAAGTATTCTAACATCTATATATAAAATGTATATAAAAGTATAAAATTGTATTAGTGTGATAATGATATTTATGAATTATAATAAAATATATACAATAGAATGACTAGCACTTCATAAATTGGCCCATTCATTTGAAATGATAAGATCCTGCATCTTTTAAGAACAATCTGTTTGAACTTGTAATTTAAAAGTTGTTTAATATCAGCATCTGATGGGTTCTTGTTTACTTGAAATAGTTGATGACATGCTTTTGTCATTGGAGTCTAAAATAAATGAGTTATTTATTAAATATCATTTTAATAAAAAAATTAATACTAACATCCTACCATATATGTTTCATATTCTTTCTCTTTAAGCGCTGTTTTGGTTTCCCTCCTTGTTGCGTTAATTCATTAATCGTGGTTAGCGATCCTAATGTTAAAATAGTAAGAATATTTTGTAAAAGCTTGCGATTTTCAAAGATCTCATATTTTAATTCATCATTGCTTTCTTGTGAAGTATTAATTATTGTGCGTTGCTTTAGCTGTTCTTCAATTATTTTCTCAAGAATAGATTGAGTATTTGAATTGATTTTGATATCTAAATGCATTATATATACGAATGAATATTACAACACGATATCATATAAATTATACTCATAAAAGCAATGTTGATTAAAAAAACTCGCATTTTGTTTGTGAATCATCGAAAGCTTCTGAAGCTTCTGATTTTTTACGCTTGATACCTTCATTGTAAATTGCTATTCAAACAGATCAGAAGATGTTATAAAAAAGAGCTTATAATGCATCATTGTCATACCTGTATGTTTAGATGATATCGATGAAAAATCTGTGATCACTGCATCAGGTTTACCAACTGAAGATGATACTAAAGCTTTTGAGACTTTAGATATGTTTTTTTCCAGAATATTTTTTTTGACCTTGCGGATTTTTGCTGAGACTTGTTAGATAATTGATGTGATGCATTAGGAATTTTTTTGGAAATTTTTGTAGATAATCGAGCTGGACTAGCGTGAATGGCTGTATCAAGTTCAATTAGATCATAAACCAATGATTGTTCATCACATATCATATCTTGGTTCTCTTTTCCGTATTTTTTTTGAGAGGTTCTCTTCCGCTACCAATTAACACTTTATGATTAAATGTCAAGCCAAACACAATACTCATAAAATACATATACATCTTTTTTAATATTAACTGCTAAATTATCAAGTTTATTAATTTTGTCAATAGGTATCTGTATATATGAAGTTAGTAAATTTGGAAGAATATCATGATATCCAACGTTTAAGTCATGATCTTTGGATGATATAGCTTGTGATATAGACAATACAATACTATCTTCTTGCTTCTTCTTAATAATTAAAGTCTTTTTGGCTTGTATTTCTTTCTTTTCCTTTTATTTAAATTTTAATATGATAAAGAATGTTATATTAGTTAAATATCACAATATAAATTATAAAGAATTTATCATTGATAAGTTTTTATGATGATTTTTTGAATTGGGAAAGACGTTGAAATATTGTCTTTCACTATACCGTTAAGTATGTCTCTAAGGGAAGATGTAACTGAATTATTGAGTACACTGGTAGTATTAATATTTTTTTTCTTTCCACGTCTCGAATTTGACAACGCCATGAGAGAGATAATGTTAAGTATGTTAAATAAAAAAATAAGAGAGAAATGATATTTAAATGTTATTTATAACAATAATCATCAGTACATCTTAATATACAGAAAGAGGTTATATGAGTTTCTACTGTTTCACAAAATATAATTTATGACGATTGTCTTGTATCGATAAAATATTTTATCAGTGATATTATTGATCTATATAAGTAAATTATAAGTTAGTATGATAATGCATTATCGTAAACATATTATATTATGTTTAAATTTACCTTTTACATTATAAAGATTTCTTTATTATCCTAATTATTTATTCCAACATAGCTAAACCTATTATAACAAAATTCTTTTTTTTTTTATATCATTTAGACAATGTTTACTTGCCCGTATCAACACTGTGATAAAACCTTTTCACGTCGAGTTGCTTTTCGTGAACACACTAAATCTTACAAAGGCCAGGCTTATTGGGAAATACTTAACAATCTTTCTGATGATTTCAGCAATTGTATAGCAGAATGTTTTAAGAATACCAATGAAAATAATAAAGATAAATTTGATGGAATGAATGAAATGATGGTGAACTTTATTGACCTTAAACTTAGAGTTGTACGACGATATACTTAATTTTTTTTTTTAAGGATGATGATCGGCAGGAGCAAAATATAGAGGGTGATGATTAGCAAGAACAAGTAGATGATGATGGTTTTTCGGTTGATGAAGATGAAGCATTGGATTTTTTGGTTGATGAAGATGAAGCATTAGATTATACTATTAAAGTTGAAGAGTTTGCTTTTGAACATTACAATTATAATCTACATACCTCTAAACTAGATCAAACATCATCAATTGATGTGAGATCTATTTTGATCTGATAGCTTTCACAAATTCCAGATGTTGCTTATTCTGAATTTATAGAACTCATATCAACCCATCACCTTTCCAATTCAGCTGGAAATGATATATTAAAATGGTTTCGCAGATATCATCTTTGGGAAAATATTATTTTACCAACAAATACAACACAAGGGCATGAATTCGTTAATTCAATGGATGTTAATCATTTGCTTTACCTCAAAACAAAAATATTAACATATAAAGATGAGGAATATTACCTTTATCATCGTTTTATCTTTGATGCTATCAAAGAGCTTTTATCCAATGCTAATATATTAAAGTACTGTCAATGGGATTTTTTGGCAGAATATAATGTCGATAATAATGGAAACCATGAATATATATATGGAGAACAATAGACTGGACGGTGGTGGAAACGTGCTTAATAAATAATCAGAACTGGATTAAAAAGGGTTTTATCGATCATTCTCTATTCTGATGCTATGACATTAGACCACCTTGGAAAAAGTTCTGAGCATCCTGTTTATTTATCATTAGGAAATATACCAAATTGGCGAAGGAATAAACGTGATGCAAAAGTTTGTTAGGATTCTTACCAAAGCTGAAGCAATTATATAATCGCAAGGATAATAAGAATGGTTTTGCATTTGTTAAAAGAATACTATATCAACATTATTTTGATGTCATGACACAACCAATATTTGAAAAATTAGAAAATAATGGCTTGAATATTATTACTGATAATCAAAAAATTTGGACTTTTCCATTCCTTTCTGAATTTATTGGTGATTTACCTGAAAATGCAGCATTGACTCTAACTTACAATTCTTTTTAATATAAGCGTTCTTGCTATATTTGTACTGTAACCATTGATGAATTAAATAATACTGATTTGTCCCGGTCTCAAATGGAGTTACGAACACCTAATAATATGAAACTTGTTTTGAATCGTAATCTTGATCATGAATATTCTATTCATCCAACACAATATATTTTTTGGAAATTTCGGTAAACAATTATATTAGTGATCCATATTTTACTATTGTTCTAGTTTGAATTATTTTTAATAACTTTATAGTGAAATGAACATTTATAATGCAACAGTTCCAGATCGCATGCATCATTGCGACCTAGGGTTATTTAATTATCAGGTTAATTTTACTCGAAATTATATTCAACTATATTGTAGACAGGAAGGTATTGATGAATTTGACCAGCGTTTAGCAGCAATTCCACGCTTTCCTGAATTAAAATCTTTTAAACATGGCTTTGGTAATATTGCAAGATTTACCGCAGCAGAATTCTGAAGTATGATAAAATAACTTGTTTTCATTATTGATGGATTGATTATTGCAAAATACAAATCATGTTTAAATTTAAGACAAGCGAAAGAAAATGATAAAAACTTGTTGATTTATTCATATCTTGGAATAAGATAGATATTTTTAGTCGAAAGGATACTTTTACAGATTCTGAACTCGTTAAATTTCAGGTAAATTTATTTGATGATTTATTATATAAATAAAATGTTAACTTTTATTTTTATTACTTTAGGAGATAATTACGGATTGGACAAGAAAATTTATTAAATTATTTACACCAATTGTAAATACTGGAATGAAATATCTAAAATTACACAATTGGTATCGTCATATTGTTAATAGCATACAAGAATATGATGCTATTAATGGATTTACAACAGAGACATATGAGTCATTACACAAATTTTGTGTCAAGAATGAGTAATTATAGAAATGCTACTTTACAAATAATTAACATGGTATAATGTTTTTTACAATAATGATTTCCAAAAATTAATTTTTATTTATTTGATTTTTTAAATATTTATTCAGGTACAATGCGATAGTATTCTTGATTATCTTTGGAAAATAACACAATCATTATCTATTAAAAAATATCGACATTGAACTTCAATATTAGGTAGTATTGAAGGTAGTTTTATATTAACTACTTTTGATGAATTTGTTAATGTATACAAAGTTACATATCATTTAGCACCAAAAGCCAAAATTGCATTTGATGTGTTGATTAATTCATTAAACCAATATCTTGATTTCATTGAAGATATTACCGAAGATGATGTTAAGGCGACCCTTGTTAAATGGTATACAAATGCAATAATTAGAGAAACAGATATTATACATGCTAAAAGTAACTATTATGGTTCACCTGCTTTTAGCAATATTGCAGTTAATATGAATGAAGAGGAGGCTCAAAATTATAATACATTTGACAGTACATATTTTGCCAAGGTAAATTTATATGATACTTTTTATCTAATTTGATTGAATACAATAATAATTAATATTGATTTATATTTTTAAATTATAATA